TATTCTGTGTATTTTGCCTCTAGTCACAGCAGTAAGACAACAGGGTTGCTGCTAGTGCTATATAATCAAGGTGGAGTAATAAATGCAAGTGGCATCGTGAGCAGCCACTCGCAGACATCTGAGGATTTGTTTCATATGACTCTTCTGTTATACTTTTCTCTCCTATTCCCTTGATTTTCCTTTCCTGTATTATCTTTTCCTGCTTTCTTTCTTTTTTTCCTTACCTATCTTCTCTTCTTTACTTTTCTTGATACCTTTTTCTGTATTCATCCTCCTAAATCCATCAAATTCAAGTGCTCACAGGCCCCGCTCTTGCTACCCTTCCTGCCATTGAACAGATACTCCCTTGCAAGATATTTCTTTGTTTCTGCCCAAGGAATTATTTGAATTCAGTGATCACGAAGACAACTTGTATGTTCAGCATATAAAAATTAATGTAAGTGAACACTAAAGAGAAAGGAGGGCTCTGGAGTGAAAATACTGTCATAGACAGAGTATGTAGAAGTGTACCCAGCCCAGTGGTTCATTTACATCTTGATCCCTTTCACTTTTGATATGGGTGCCGTGGGGATGATTCAGGTTATTTAATTGCTGGCATAAACAAAGAATTTTGCCTATACAAAAGTGCAGAGAAACAGTTTTTCATTCCTCTGCTATATATGTCTAGCCTGGAAGTGACAAGTAGCTAGATTTTCCTCCTCACTAGAAACAAACATGGATTTTAGGATTGACAATATGAATATTTCCAGACATGCCATTGTTCACAACTGGAGTTGGCATGGAACGAGGGCATGTACTTCCATTTTTGTGTGAACCACAATTTAGACTCAAGGGAGGATTTTATTAGTAATACCTGCAGGACAGATTATGCCAAAGTGATGATTTGTGTCTGTCAGATTATTACTAATGCTTCTCTTTCAGTGACACTGAATTGGTTCAGAAATGGCCAGTCTATTACAAGATATTTTATACCTATGATCTGTTAATGATGGTATCTTCCAGTTCATTTCCAGGTGCAGAGTAGGATGCTATTTTGAAATGATAAACCCTTTATCAGTATAAGTGATGTTTATCTGAAATGTCATTTTCTACAACCTCTGACTGTATGCCTGAATGTCCTGAGGTCTTCAGGTTAGAAGCCCTATATCCACTTCTGGGCCAGCTAAAAGAGGCATTCTTCATAATATGTCCTCAATAGGAGGGCATTCTTCCTCTTTGAGACCATTATTATTTTCCCTCACTTTTGCTGCAAAGCTCATTTGCCATCTCACAACTTTTTTACTCAACAAGATTAAGTTATAGATGAAGGGAATATCTTGGGCTTGGGAAGGATTTGTCATCTGTTAAGGCCCAGTTTTGAAAGATATTGCTCTAAAATCTTTGTTTTGTTCTGAAAAGTAAGGAGTGTACCCTGCTATTAAATATCCTAAAAGACAAAGTGTATTTTCTTCTTTTTGAGGACTCTGTTTCCATTTCTTTATATCCCTCAATGTGTAGATAACGCCTGTGGTAGAGAGTTATGAGCAGAATGTAACAGGTCATCATCGACAATGACTTCTTTTTCAATAGCACTGTCTTGGAAATGTCTTCAATCCTGAAGAGCATTGAGAGTGCCCAATATGGGTGTGTAGGAATGAAAAAGGCAGCACAAAGCTGATATATTGACATATTTACCTAGATATAAAGAACTAGAGGTTTCATTTGAAATCTGGAGAAAAATTTTCATGTCATCAGCAGTGTTCATCAACACCTAAACCTGCAACAAAGACCACACTCCTAAATGCATGTGTCTGAATCCTCAGCTGGTTAAACTGTGATGGTGCCAGTGAGTTTAGCAGTGCTCAGTCAGCATGTGCCTGAAGGGCCTGGGAATCCAAGAGCAAATTGATTCCATTGATCATGGGAAATTCTCTCAGATCAATCCCTATTTGGTTGCATGAAAGAAAACAAAACAGAGTCCTGAAATGTGCTGAGTAAATTTAAAATGCTGCTTAGGACTTCACCGATGTCTGATATCATCTCCAAGACGAGAAAACCACTTTCAGCTTCAATTCTGCTTACTATAGAGCATGAGCAAACAGAGTCTGACCATTTTGCTTAATATTCAAACATTTCTTTAAAAAAATCTTGTTGCACAAAGTAATATTTTTCAAGGTATTATGCAGTACAATGATCAAAAGCTTGTTTGGATAGTTATTCAAGTAAACATTGAAGTACTCAGAATCAAAGGAAATATGCACTACAGCTACATGGCATTATTTAAATAGCTCAGAGGGGTTTTATCTAAAAGAGAGTGAGTCACTGTTGAATTTTAAAGAAACATGCTATTTAAGTCACCAGTGCATAGAGGGGCCCTTATCATTAGTATTTTGCTTCTTGACACTAATTTATAGTACAGTGTAATATTGCATCAAATCATTGTCAAACAGATAATGCCAATGCTCCATTCAGAGCTTTCACATCAGCTGCAAAATGACAGATAACAAGACCGCTTTTGCCTAAATAAAGCAACGCATCTGTTAGAGTCCTAAATTACTTTTTGCATGGGGTGTTCTTCAATTAAGAAAACTCAGGCAATCTGTGGATATCTGTTGGAATGAATCTTCAGATACTGAAATAATGTAGAAGGAGAGAGTAAAACTATTCATTACCTAGTGAAATGAAAACCATTTCATGTAGGCTGTTGTGATTCAGCAGTATTCACCAAAATGTATTCTTCCCTCATTTAAAAGTAGGCCTAACAAACCAGACATTATCAGAAGCAACTCCACAAAGAAGAATGCAGAACACTACATAGCTGGAGTCAAAGCCACACAACCTGTGTAGAGAGGCATCTGGACCTTCTGCTTCCCATTATCTTACCAGCTAATTTCATAGGGACTAGGAAGGACATAAATAAATTGAGCAAATCTTACCTTAAGGTCTCAGGACCTATTATCACATACGCTACACAGCCCTTTTGCAAGAGTCCAAAATACAGGGCTAATTTATCCTCTCCTCATTCTCAAATAACCCGGTATCCCAGGTAAGATAAGGACTGTATATTTCTGCTACAAGAGCTGCTACTGTGATATTTGTAGCCAGGACTGCACACCAAAAGGCATCAGTAATGCTAACAGGGCTGTTATTTGACATGGAGCTTTCAGTCTTGTAAAGAAGAGAGAGTACAGGAAAAACTGGGGAAGTTTTGTGGAAAGCTGAAGCTGGCCCGCATTCCTCACGTGTATGCCCATTGAGAAAGATACTGATCATGAGTTTCTGCCACAGCATATTCTATTGGGACACATTTCTTATAGTACAAATGCCAGTTTTGTCTTCATTTATATGCAGCTTGAACAATTTCTTTGACACATTTTGAATGATGATAAAAGAACACTACACTTCTCTTCCAAACTAATTTGTAAAAAATTTTTACTTACCAGACTTTGTCAGGGCATGGGTTATAGGTCCATACTCACAATTTTCACAACCAAAGGGTTGATGTACTTTTGGTGATCTGATTGGTCATACGGTACACTAAGACTAACACTCCATCAGGTCCATTGCCTGGCAAAACAAGGGAAAAAGCTTTACACTAAAAGACCTTTACAATTCTGGTTTCATTTGGCTGCAGAAAAAAAAAGACATTATTTGAAATCCTGAAGTTTTATAGAATGGACAAATAATTTATTGGTGACTTTTAGTTATTTAAATCAACTCTTGTGCGTATGTATTATAGAAGTGACCTGCACCATCCTTGAACTGTAGCAGTGACCAGCTTTTAGCCTTTGCTCATGTCAGTGCAATAAATCCCAGTGGAAGCTGAAAAGTGAAAGTGCTGCACAAAACAGGACCAGATATTACTGTAAAGCAAAAGATGTCACTGAGAAATCATCATGTACAAAAAAAAAGTTAATTTCTACAGATGTCTAAGGGGACCATCGACTACAAATTGCACAAAACTGTTTAGATGGCTTCATACTATGAGACAATGGCAAAAAAGTGAGGGGTAAGCTTTGATGTAATGTCATTAGAGCAGGCAACAATTTACATGAGGTGAAGGTTTGGCTCAATGGGTATTGTTCTTATTTAAAAACACAAATCTAACCATAGTGATACAACAAGATATTATTTGTTTGCTTAATAGCCTTGCTAGAAAAGAATTTTGATGCAGGAAAAAAATATTTGACTCTTCAGAGGAAGTCATTATCATTTTGACTGATTAGTCTGCATTTATTAATGAATCAGTTCCCAAAGTGATCATTTTATGCTATTTTAATCTAATATGCTACAAAAATTTAGATCAAGAGATTTCTAAATGGTTTGAGTCCTTCATTATTCCCTAAATGATTTAGTCTTGGTGTCTTCTTGGACAAGCTTGATACTGTGATTAATTAAACTTCAAATATTGTGAAATGACTGAAGAATATTTTATGAAACTCGGTGAAAGGTATTAGGTCTGAAAGATTTTGATAAATTGCTGCTAAAACATTCCATCTATATAGAATCATAGAATAGTTTGGGTTGGAAGGGACCTCTAAAGGTCATCTAGTCCACCCCCCCTGCCATGGGCAGGGACATCTTCCACTAGATCAGGTTGCTCAGAGCCCCGTCCAACCTGATCTTGAAGG